ATGTATTATTTTCCAAGACTGCGCTACAATCTCCGAAAAAATTGTTCGGATCGGGCCACTATAGCATAAAAACTGAATAGACCATACAAACTGAAAGATCAAAGTCAAATTCATGTATGGGAAAACTTTTGTATTTGACGAAATATATTCATGAAATGTGACATGTATTATTTTCCAAGGCAACGGTAAAATCTGCGAAGAAGTTCAGATCGGACCATTATATGTTAATGAATTAATTTCAATTTCGTAATTTACAAATAATGCAAATACTCGGTATGTTACTTTACTTCACTTTAGGCTGGTCGTACTTTGCTATCATGCATTGCAGATGAGTTGGCTACTGACAAAGAAAATGCCAACCAACAAATAAATAGTTTGCTTGGTAACAATCCACCATTGTGGAACAACAGCGATGAGTTGTTGTCGCAAGTACGACAAATTTGTTCGGACAAAACTTGGCGGCGCAACGTATTTGCTGCGCTCTTCTGCAACAGTGATCAAAAAGTCAAAGAACAAAGTTCGCTGTTAATCAAGAGTCCGAAGCTAGTCGAACCCGTATTCGAGCTGCCCACTTACGCTGACGTTGAGCGCTATGAGGAGGATGCGCAGTTTTTAAAACCACAATCTTTGCAACATTTGGTCTACCTTTGTCTGGGTAATGACAATCTCGCCTATGTACGTGCTAAATATTTTAGTGGTTTGAATTTTTCCACACAAAACTTGGCGTTTTGTGGTGCTGAGTCTTTAAACCAATTGGATATGGATACGTTTTTGTATGCGGCAACCATACAAGCCAAGCGCACACTACAAGTTGAGCGCGAAACATTTGATAATTACAACGCGGGCAATCGCAGCGCCTCCGGACGTCCACGCATATTACCATTCACCAATTTGCAGGGGCAGCTATGTACCGAGGAACAATCCAATTGGTGGTTAGCTGCCTATCAGGTTTACAAAAATCTAAGCACTGATAATTTAGCCGAATTACGCGCCAACTTACAGTATGGTATAGAAGCTGTGCGCGGTGTTAATGGGCCGAAAATTGACATGATCATCGTGTTCAAATTGGGGCAGATATTTGTCGCACGTGCACAAGATATTGTTAAACCAATAGAGAAAAGCTTTTTAGAGGCACGTGCAGAAAATATTTATAAGTATGGTTTAAATATGGTGAAAATGAACAATAAAGGCGTGTTGGAGCCATTTCGCAAATATTTCAAATATACTAAAGCCAAAACTTCTGTTGTTGAGCGTGAGATTTCTAATGCAGCTGAGGATGCCGTTTCCTATTTAGCTTCGCGTTACTTCAAGAAAGCCGAATATGAAGAGTTAATCGAAGAATTGACTGGCGTACAATTGCCATTTGCAACATATTTACAAGCAGAAGCTTATCGCAAATTAGACGAAGCCAATAAAACGCCAAAGAAAGCCAAGCGTATGTATTTAGATCGTGCAAGTGAGTGCCTCAATCAGACTTTGAATCTCTTGAAAAACACAGAAATAAACCCGGAACATCCCTTGAATTCCATAATACATACTGAATTGAAAAGATTGCAACAGGCCACTATGAAATTCATTAATGAAGGTAGCCCAGCAACCGGACACAATAACTCTAGCACCTACGAAGATGCCGAAGCTGAGTTCTACCACGACATATCCTTGTCCGCTACACCAGCAATAAACCGTTCCCGACGTGAAGCTACCGCTACCGCTTTAATTGCTTCACCTCGTAATACGGAAATGGAGAATTTAGTAAAGCAAATGGCCAATACACTAACGTTTGTGAAAGAGGAACTCGTTGATACGATTAAACCGGAAATGCTGTCAATGCGTAAAGAAATCACTTCACTTAAGGATAAAATTGCTGGCCTTGAGGAAGCTATGAAACGTACACGTATTCCTTCAAATACACCATCACGTGATGATGCATCGCATGTGCTCGATGATCTCTACATGATCGAGGATGCATTGCAAAATCAATTGTATCAAACGCCAGCGCAG